GAGCATGTGGGGATGCTAGAAGTGTCAATAAAGAGCAATCTCTTTGAGGTGTTTCTTGGGAGCAGGGCACACAGAGGGAAGGAGACACAAAAAAAAAAAAAAAAAAAAAAAACAGTGCAAAAAAGGGAGTATCTAAAATGTACAGTCATGGCCAAAAATATTGGCACCCCTGCAGTTGTCAGATAATGCACCACTTTACGCAGAAAAGTGTTGCAATTGCAAATGTTTAGGCATTCTCATGTTTATTTCTTTTGTTTGTATTGCTACGACACAAAAAAAAGTGGAGAAACAAAGCACCAAATCTGACACATTCCACACAAAATTCAAAAATGGACTGGACAAAATTATTGGCACCCTCAATTTAATATTTGGTAGCACACCCCTTGGAAAAAATAACTGAAATCAAATCGCTTCCTGTGACCATCAATGAGTTTCTTACACCTCTCTACTGGAATTTTGGACCATTCTTCTTTCACCAACTGCTCCAGGTCTCTCAGATTGGAAGGGTTCCTTTTCCCCCTCTATGGGATTGAGATCTGGACTCACTGCTGGCCAATTCAGTGCTCTCCAGCGCTTTGTCTGAAACCATTTCTGGGTGCTTTCTGAAGTGTGTTTTAAGTCATTGTCTTGCTCCAAGACCCATGACCTCTGATGAAGACCCAACTTTCTGACACTGGGCCCTACACTGCACCCCAGAATTCTTTGGTAGTCTTCTGATTTCATAATGCCATGCCAATGTCAAGACATCCAGTACCTGAAGAAGCAAAGGAACCCCAAAACATCAGTGAACCTCCACCATGTTTGATTGTAGGGTCTGTATTTTTTTCTTTAAAGGCCTTATTGCTTTTGGCTGCTTCAGGTAAGTTTTGGCAAACTCCAATTTGTTTTTTTTGTTTCCATGTCAGCAGTGGTGTTCTCCTGGGTCTCCTTCCATAGCATCCCTTTTCATTTAGATAGCGATGTATAGCACAAGAGGACACAGTTGTACCCTGTTGATCAATTTTTCTCTTTCGTCCATGTACAGAGAGATTAGCTACAGTGCCATGGACTGTAAACTTCTTTACGATGTTGTACACAGTGGACACAGGAACATTAAGATCTCTGGAGATGGACATGTAACCCTGCGATTGTCAATGCTTTTGCACAATTTCTGTTCTCAAATCCTCAGACAATTTTTTGCTGCTCTTTCGTTTCTCCATGCTCCGTGTGGCTCACAGAGACACACAACAGAAAGGTTGAGTAAATTTTTTACCATTTTAACTGGTTGCCAGTGTGATTTCTATATTGTCAGCACCTGTTAATTGATACAGGTGAGTTTAATTACAAAATTACAGGAGCATCACAAACTTGGAATGCAATTATTTTTTACAATTTTGAGAAGGTGCCAATAATTTTGTCCAGCCCATTTTTGGAGTTTTCAGTGGAATGTGTCAGATTTGGCTTTTTGTTTCTCCACTTTTTTTTATGTCATACCAATACAAACAAAAGAAACGCAGGGGTGTCAATATTTTTGACCATGACTGTGATAGTTAAAAACAAAGATTTTATTAAAATAAAAATAAAGTCTATTGCACTCACAAAAGGTGAATCTGGTTACAAAGCCTTAAGTAATAGAGCTTGGCAAGGAGACACTGCAAGTCCTCCCAAACCCAATCAGCCCTGGCTATCGGAAGAGGTGAAAGCATCTGGGACGGGAGAAGCTATGAGGCCTCAAAGAAAGCCAATGCTATCAAATAATGTTCAACATTTTATCCTCTCTCAGATCACAGCCCCCTTTCATGTGTAGCTCTATAGGGTTTAACATATCACATTTCTGTCCCCTTTATTCTACCGTTTATTAGAGTATTGTGGCTCTTTATATTTCTTGCTGGATTTGCACTTTTTACATCAAAACCATGTATATTCCCTGTATATTACTATTTGTTATCAATTGCTTTTATTTGATCGATTCTTTGTATGTACTTCTAGTCACACTGAGGCTTTTCTAGCTGTCAGGAACTGATGTGCAGCCTCATCAACGCACATCAGTGGAGAAAAATTACCGGTTTGCAAAATTTTATAATAGTAACAATGAAAAACATTTTTTTCCCCAACTTTTTTGCTCTTCTTTGTTTAAAGCACAAAAAATAAAAACACCCAGTGCAGTGGCAATTAAATACCACCAAAATAAAGCTCTATTTGTGTCAAAAAAAAAAAAAAAAAAAAAAAAGAATAAAATGTTCATATGGGTACAGTGTCGCATGACAGCGCAATTGTTTTTCAAGCGTTTTTGTGTGTTTAAAAAAGCGCCCTGTGTATGTGAATGTATATCTATGAATGTTTTCACACTGAGTCATTGCCCTTGCGGTGCGGTGTAAAAACTGCTGCTTGCAGCATCTTTGGGGAGTAAAAAAAAGAAAAAGAAAAGGCCCCAAAAATGCCTCTTTCCATTGAGATCAATGGAAAGCGCCTGAAAAGCGCCTTAAAAACACCTCTGAGAAGTGGTTTTGGTCCAGCTTTTAGGTCATGTGTCCTTTCAAAACCTCCTGGGAAGCACGGCAAAAGCATGGTAAAAAACATCTATGCATTTTATGTGGCGGATCAGTGTGAAAGTAGCTTAAGTTTCAAAAAGACTTACTGGCAGGATCACCTGGTAAAAAAAAAAAAAAAAAAAAAACTAGTGCAGCACCACATCTAAAAATGGGTAAGCTGCAAATTAATAAAGATTTGCTTTTTGGGGTTTAATACAGCCAGCTTTTTCTTTTGGATTTGTACCCAATCTAACAAATGAAATATAGAATATCATCCCCCTATATAAAAATTGACCAAGATAACAGTACTTACGATTTCATGCCACTTTCACCTGTGTCATTGGAGACACGGAACAATGCGAGTGTGTAAGTTTTAAATAAATATTTTAAATGGTTTTACGCTATGGGGGCTCCTTCTCCCCTTTTTTTCCCTATGAGTGGTATATCAATTTAAGAAGTCCTTGAAGATAGGACTACAGGCGGTTACTCTCAGAGCAACAAGCGCTTATGCTTTTCTATAATTTCACCAGCATATCGCTCTGGTGAGTTTATCCAATTTATCTAGTGGTGGATAAAGCACATTTTCTTGGTGGTGTCATTGGCATAGTGGAATTTGCACAACAAATAGCACTTTATTACTGAAGAATTTGACGTATTGGATGGATACAAGGAGTTATGTTGGATTTGGTGATGATGTGACTATGTCTAAAGTCATTTAATAGACACATCTGTTGCACTTTATTTACGAATTTGATTGCACTAATCAATTTATAATATTGTTTTATAAGCTTATATGTGATGAGAAAGAACATTATGTATTAGTCACAGATTATATTGCATTCCCACTAAATGCGAATTAGAGGTATAAGAGGGTTTGTTATATGTATATTGTTTTTTTTTGCACAATTTTTATATAGGGGGATATTTTTATAAATATATTTCTTTGTTAGATAGGGTACAAATCTAAAGAAAGGGCTATGCAAATTAGAGGTATAGGAGGATTTGTTATATGTAAATCAGTTTTTCGCACCATTATTTAGGGGGATATTTTTAAATACAGTTAATTTTTTTTTTTAGCAGGTATTGTAGATATTAGCAAGCAGCACTGTTCTATATGCACAGATTTGTTTAATTAATGGAATTCCATTAACATGTTCCCGCCCAGCCTATAGCAGATTGATGTCCGGGCGGGACACTCACGGTTGTGACTGGGCGTCATACGACGCCCTGTCAAAACGAGCAGCTCACGCGGTCGTGCAGTGGCGTGATCTGTCACCGGCTGTGTCCACGGGACACAGCCGATGACATATCACCACACCGGCCCGTTGCCAGTGTCATGCGACCAATCACAGCAGATCACATGTCAACTGTATACAATGGCTGGCTTCCTGTCATGCCATTCACTGTATACAATTATGTTGTAAGCTGTGACTGGTCAAGGCAGTCACATGATACAGACAGGGCCAATCACAGCCCATCCGTATCATGTGATCAGCTTTGCCCAATCACAACAAAAGATTAAATGAATCAGTTTCATTCAGTAACAATGATTGCAAATATCAATGAAATACATTGGTATTAGCAATCATAATATGTTAAAAAAAAAAAAAATCCTGATCACTTGCACAGACTAGTTCAATGTTACTATGGTAACATTGTATTGCTTTGGTCACAGTGTGCTGAAAAATAAAACCGTAAAAAAAAATGAAAAAAATGTAATAAAAAAAATAGAAACATTTGAAAAAAAAAAAATACAAAATCAATTATTGTTTTCAAAGAAATTTACCAGAATACATTTTGACCCAAGTTTCTAAAGAAATGTTATTTATTTGCAAAATTTTATAACCGAAACGAAGAAAAGTGCGTTTTTTTTTTTTTCAAACGTTTCAGGTGTTTTTTGGTTTTATTTAGCAAAAAAATAAAAAAACTCAGTGGTGATTAAATGCCACCAAAAGAAAGCTCTATTTGTGTAAAAAACAAAATGCTAAAAATTTCATATGGGTACAGTGTTGCATGATCACGCAATTGTCAAAGTGCAACAGCGCTCAAAGCTGAAAATTGGCCTGGGCAGGAAGGGGTTATAAGAGCCCAGTATTGAAGTGATTAAGAACAGCAGCTACCTGTTAGTTTTGTGGGGTTTTTTTTTCTGAGCGGTGCAGGGTTCCAGAGTGCAGCCCTACATACTATATTTAGTTTAGGATTTGTGCAGTCTGTGGAACACAGCACAGCGCAGGATGAGTCTCTGTTAACATTCCAACACCCAATTTCAATGAGGGTGACCTGATTCAGGGTTTAGGAGCCACATAACCCATACTTTTTCTTGAGTATTGTCCTTTATATAATGCTGCAGAGTGTGCATACAGGTAATTATGGTAAATTATTTGTCTTCTGCACGGAGTATATGACTATTGGGATGTCAATAATATTTTTTCAACAAGTTCTACAAGACACAAGATTTATAAAAAGAACAAGCTAACAAAGGATCCTTACCTATTTCCGTGAAGTTTTCTGCATGAACTGCAATGTCTTGTTGGATTCCAAACATACTTATCAACTGGTGATGTTACTTCTGCACCTTCTTTTTTTACAGTAGGAATGTTGTCAGGAATAAACAAAGGTGGCTCATCAACAGAAACACTTTTACTACTTCTTCTTTGTCGGGGTGGAAGTGACTTTTTAAGCTTTGTCTTCTCTTCCGATTGCTCAGCTGCTTCTTTCGGTTCCCCCATGTCCTTTGAGGGTGGAGTGATTTTTGATAATGACTGTTTAGTTACGGATTTATCACTAGAATGGGATAAACTCCTAGAACGTACATGAGATGACACAACTTGTGACATTTCTTTCGAACTTCCCTGACTGTCCCGTAATGCATCATCTAGCTGTTTTAATAATGTTGAGGGATTACCCTTTTTTTCAAATGAACGTGGCTTCTTTTTAATTGTAGTCTTTATTGGAATGTTATGGATTTTCGTAGCTACAGCCCCTTTTTTCGTTACTTTAATGATTTTCGACTTGTCAGACAGAGCTGGAGATTCAGAGGGGGTTATATTAGTTTTTTTAAACCTACCCTTTTGATGTTGCGAATGCAAGCCCTCTTTTGGGGAAGCAATATTTTTTGCTGAATTTTCTGTCAGTGTAGGTACATTAGCAGAACCGGGTTTTAGCTTTTTTGCACCTTTTCGGTTATGATTTGGGTTTCCAAAACCATTTCCAGCTGACATTTTCTTTTCCATAGTCTGTAACTTGTCACTGCTTTCTTCATCTTCTGTGCAATTCTGTACTAAACTTTCAACAACGGATATATCTTCTAAAGAATTACATTTGTTACTAGTATTCATAACTTCAGAAGCAATAGAATTTTTGTCTGGTTCACACTGTTGGACAGAGCTGTTAACAGTATTTTGCAACATACATTCAACATTAATTTCTGGGTGCAACACCGTCTTAACTCCCATGTCACATTCAACTCCAGATAAAAGCGCAAGCTCTTGATGAACTTTATCATAAATTACATCTGTTTTTTTATCATCAGTCTGACAGTTGTTATTATACACTTTTTCATCTGCAGGTGTCTCTAAGACATCATCTGTCAAATGGTCTCCTTGAGAATTATTCAAATCATGTTCTGTCACTTCTTCCAAACCTTTTTCAGAATTTGTACTCAAAATAAGAGAATCGTTATGCAACGTTTCCGAGTTACCATCTTCTTTTTCCAGTATGCTTTGTGTGTTTGACAAAATATCATTTATGGTACCAGATTCTTCATCTAACGTCTCCTTATTTGAGTTATTTTGATCTGTAGTTACTTTATCTTTATAGTCCTTATTTGCTATTCTTGTTGATCTTCTTGAATTCTGTGTGCTATTGCTTCTTTTATCATCACTGATGTGCAAAATATGTTCCTCATCTTTTGCTTTATCATCAACTGCTGTGTCTTTTCGGGAAGATTTAGATTTTTTGGGACTTGCAACCTTCACAGCAGCATTCAATGTCTTCTCAATTGTACTAGATCTCAGTGTTCTTGTGGATTCTGTTAAATAAACAAAGCAATGAAGGGAATAAAACACTGTATTAAAGACTATCAAATATGTAAGGCAAAAAAGTGTAAAATTATACTTTGTTGTTCAGTTCCAATGTGAATGTACAAAACGTAAAGTGATTGTAAACACAACCCATTCAGTTTAAAATAGAAATGAAAGAAAAACATTTGTGGATATATAAATCTATATAATACAGGGGTTAAAATTTCGAGTCCAGACCTACTAGCCGGTCAAAAAAAAAAAAAAAAAAAAAACCAAAAAAAAAACCCAAAAAAAAAAAAAAAAACCAACCTTACTCTCCATCTGTTGCCCCATTTTCATTAGAATAAATAGTCCAAAAATATAAAAAAACTGTACACAGTAATGTATATCCCAGCTCCCCTGTACTCCATTATAGTGATGGCATGTATACAGTAATGATTACTGTATACATGTCATCACTATAATGGAGTACAGGGGAGCTGGGATATACATTACTGTATACATGTCATATCACTATAATGGAGTGCAGGGGAGTTGGGATATACATTACTGAGTAATGTATATCCCAGCTCCCCTGTACTCCATTATAGTGATATGACATGTTGTATACAGTATTTACTGTCCCATCCCCCCCCCCCCCCCCCCCCCGAAGTCCCCCGCGGCGGTGGAGAGGGTGTCTCCTCTCAGTGGAGGAGAGCGGACCTCTCCTGCACCTGTCCCCTCGGCGGCGGTGCCGCAGAAGCCGGAAGTTGTAAACAGGAACTCTGTTTCACAATGAGGCTTGGAGCACAGGTGCAGTCGCTCCATGCTTCATTTGGGCTCACCGCTCGCCACAGAGGAATTTCTCCTCGCATTTGGTGAGAGGCTTTTTCAAGCCCTGTAATAATATATATAATCACATCTCCTCTGTTCTCAGCTGCATAGGAGCTTGGGAAAGAGAAACAGCAGTACACTGATCTTACTAGGGAATGGCTGTGCAGAGGAGTGTGTGAGCAGATATCTGAGCATTGGAGGAGAGTGGGCTGAGTTCCCAGCATTTCAAGAGAACTGAACACTGTTCTCCTGCTTAGTGTAGTCAATTTTTAATAGAAAAGCAGAGGAACTGTCAGGAACACAAAGGAAGCAATACAAGAGAACAGGATACTTTTTTTAAGATAGATCAAAGAAATCAAGAGAGTCTTCGAGGGTCCTTGGAAAGACAGTGTCTCAAAAAAGGTGAGTTGTCTGCCACACACTGAGCGGTACGTCGATCCAAATACAAAATGGCTGATCTGTAAATAGGACCACCACTGAAAGGGTGGTGGAAAGTCTTTGTGAGCCAAGTCCACCCATGATCGAAATTTGCCCTTCTGAAAAAAGTCTCCAACTCTGATGTAAGAGGTGGTAAGGCATGTCCTATGAAAGGAGGGATGTAGGCCCGGAGGGAAAGCTAGGTTGTCTATAACAGGAGTCATCGGGCCCAGTATGGAAGACACCCTCTGAGCCCTAAAGACCCATCGAAAACACGAGAGTGTTGCACCAATGAGTGGGTGAATCGCCAGGTGCTTTGCAGCACCTGATGTAGGTAGCCAAGGTATCGACAATAGCAATCCAGCTGCTACCTCCTGTTCTAGGCCAATCCAATCCTTCGTCTGTGCATGTATGTGCCAGTCCATTCTGGTGAGCAGGCAGGCTCTATAGTAAGACCCAAGGTCTGGCACTCCCAATCCTCCCCTGCATTTTGGTTGGCATAACTGACAATCCTGGGAGTGCTGCCTTTCCAAATGAATCTGGAAAACAGTCGCCGTATTGTGTGAAAAAAGATACGATGGAGAGAGATTGGAATGGCCTGCATAAGATATAGACAGGGTGGCAATAAGGTCATTTTGATCACTGCCGCTCTACCAAACCAAGATAGATGGAGGCTATTCCAACTAGCCAAATCATCTTCTATTTTGTGAAGTAGAGACTGGAAATTGAGAGAGTATAAATCAGATAGAGATGAGGGCAAAAAAATCCCTAAACAGGCGATTACCTTGGGCTGCCATTCAAATGGGAATTCATATTGGCACTGTGCAACCGTCTCGTTCGAGAGCGTGATGTTGAGAGCATGCAATTTCATGAGGTTAACATTTAAAATTAGACAACATATCAAGATATTGTTCGCAAAAGCCACCACCTTATAAATACACGATGCAATTTCTATACCAGCTATATCTGGGTCTGCTCTAAGTCATCTCAGGAAGGGTTCTAATGCCATCACAAAAATATTGGGTGACAAGGGGCAACCCTGTCTCGTTCCATTCGCATCCGAAAAGGCATTGGACAATAACCCATTGACTTTCACTGAGGCCGATGGGTTGGAATACAAAGGAGCCTATGAAGGTCTGCATTCTAGATCCCAACCCTGCATTTGATAGCACTACCGCCATATACAGGTTAAACTCGAAAAATTTGAATATCGTGCAAAAGTTCATTTATTTCAGTAATGCAACTTAAAAGGTGAAACTACAATCTCAGAAAATTAGAATATTGTGAAAAGGTGCAATATTCTAGGCTCAAAGTGTCCCAATCTAATCAGCTAATTAAGCCATAACACCTGAAAAGGGTTCCTAAGCCTTTAAATGGTCTCAGTCTGGTTCAGTAGGAATCACAATCATGGGAAAGACTGCTGACCTGACAGCTGTGCAGAAAACCATCATTGACACCCTCCATAAGGAGGGAAAGCCTCAAAAAGGTAATTGCAAAAGAAGTTTGATGTTCCCAAAGTGCTGTATCAAAGCACATTAATAGAAAGTTATGTGGAAGGAAAAAGTGTGGAAGAAAAAGGTGCACAAGCAGCAGGGATGACAGCAGCCTGGAGAGGATTGTCAGGAAAAGGCCAATCAAAAGTGTTTGGGGCTTTCCGAAGTGGCCTGAGGCTGGAGTCAGTGCATCAAGAGCCACCACACACAGACGGGTCCTGGACATGGGCTTCAAATGTCATATTCCTCTTGTCAAGCCACTCCTGAACAACAAACAACGTCAGAAGCGTCTTACCTAGGCTAAAGAAAAACAGACCTAGTCTGTTGCTCAGTGGTCCAAAGTCCTCTTTTCTGATGAGAGCAACTTTTGCATCTCATTTGGAAACTAAGGACCCAGAGTATGGAGGAAGAATGGAGAGGCACACACTGCAAGATGCTTGAAGTCCAGTGTGAAGTTTCCACAGTCTCTGTTGATTTGGGGAGCCATGTCATCTGCTGGTGTTGGTCCACTGTGCTTCATTAAGTCCAGGGTCAACGCAGCTGTCTACCAGGAGATTTTGGAGCACTTCATGCTTCCTTCCGCAGATGAGCTTTATGGGGATGCTGACTTCATTTTCCAGCAGGAATTGGCACCTGCCCACACTGCTAAAAGCACCAAAACCTGGTTCAATGACCGTGGGATTACTGTGCTTGATTGGCCAGCAAACTCGGCTGACCTGAACCCCATAGAGAATCTATGGGGCATTGCCAAGAGAAAGATGAGACATGAGGCCGAACAATGCAGAAGAGCTGAAGGCCACTATTGTAGCATCCTGGTCTTCCATAACACCTCAGCAGTGCCACAGGCTGATAGCTTCCATGCCACGCCGCATTGAGGCAGTAATTGCTGCAAAAGGGGCCCAAACCAAGTACTGAGTACATATGCATGCTTATACTTTTCAGAGGTCCGATATTGTTCTATGTACAATCCTTGTTTTATTGATTGCATGTAATATTCTAATTTTCTGAGATTGTGGATTTGGGGTTTTCATGAGCTGTAAGCCATAATCATCACAATTATGACAAATCATGGCTTGAACTATCTTGCTTTGCATGTAATGGGTCTATCTCATATATTAGTTTCACATTTTAAGTTGCATTACTGAAATAAAGGAACTTTTACACGATATTCTAATTTTTCGAGTTTCACCTGTACTCCCAAGATACTCTATCAAATACTTTCTCTGCATCCATTGAGAGAAAGAACCCAGGGGAGTTAGAAGAGGTCAGCCAATGGTGTATGTATAAAGCCTTAATCGTATTGTGACAACCTTCTCTGCCTGGGATGAAACCCACCTGATCCAAAGACATCAACAACCTAAGGTGAAGCAATAAAAAAGATTAGCAAGAACTTTTGCGAACAATTTCACATCCAGGTTTAGTAGGGAAATTGGGCAGTAATTTTGAACCTGTGTTGGATATCTTCCTGGTTTTGGAATGACAGTAACGTGAGCTTCCAAAAGTTGAGTCGGGGGTGGCAAGTTCTCCTCCAACGAATTGAATGCCCGAAGAAAGGGAGGGAGAAACAAATCTTGAAACGTTTAATATAAGGTGGGCAGGCCGTCTGGTCCTGGACTTTTTCCTGGCTTCACGTTCTTAAGTGCCGTAAGGACCTCCTCAGTCAAGATCAGCTTGTCAATGGATTTTGCTACAGTAGAGGTTAAAAGAGGAATGCCATAATGACGGAGAAATGTCTGTATTGCGTTCGAGCATTCAGAGGCAGTCCTCTGAGGTTCTCCTGTCAACGATAAATTGTACAGTTTTTCATAGTATCGAACAAACTGAGATGCAATAGCCTCTGTAGAAGGGTGAGCCTTGCCCCACTGATCCCTAATGGAGTGAACGGCCATGTCCTGTTTGATTTTCTGAAGTGCCCTAGCCAAATAATGATAGTTTTTATTGCCGTGCTCATAAAAAAGAGTTTCGAGCAAAGAGTAAATTTCCTGCATACCTGACCACCCAGTTTCTCCAACCAGACTTGTCCGGATTGAGACAGGACTTCCAAGGCCTGCACAGCCTGCGTGCGTTTATGCTTAATTTCCAGAGTACGAATGTGAGCTAGAAGCCTATCGAAGCCTGCCTAGCCTTCTTCATTTTCATGGAAAAGGCAATAACATGTCCCTGCATGAAACACTTATGCGCTAGCCAGCGAGTCATTGGGGAGGTGTCAGGGGTGTCATTGAGAGTGAAAAACTCAAGCTTTCCTGCAATTGGATCAAATGGGATGGATCTCCCAGCAAGGAAGGATTCAAGCGCCAAAATTTGGATCTATTCTCCCATTAAGGAAATTGGAGTGTCATGGTGATTGGAAGATGGTGCGAGACATACAGTGAACAAAATAAGTATTTGTTCCCCTGCTGATTTTGAATGTTTGCCCGCTCACAAAGAAATGATCAGTCTAAAAATCGAATGGTAGGTGTATTGTAACAGAGACAATAGCAACAGAAAATTCAAAAGAAATGCAGATCTAACAAGTTATGCACGGATTTGCATGTTCAAGAGGGAAATAAGTATTTGATCCCCTTCACAAAACATGACTTATTACTTGGTGGCAAATCCCTTGTTGGCAATCACAGAGGTCAGACGTTTTCTATAGTTGGCCACCAGGTTTACACATATCTCAGGAGGGATTTTGGCCCACTCCTCTTGGCATCTCCAAGTCATTAAGTTTTGGTAGCTGATGTTTGGCAACTCAAACTTTCAGCTCCCTCCACAGATTTTCAATCGGATTAAGGTCTGAAGACTGACTAGGCCACTCCAGGATCTTAACCACTTGCCTACCAGGCACTTATACCCCCTTATTTACCAGGCCAATTTTCAGCTTTCAGCGCTGCCGCACTTTGACAATTGCGCGGTCATGCAACATTGTACCCATATGAAATTTTGATCATTTTTTTCTCACAAATAGAGCTTTCTTTTGGTGGTATTTAATCGCCACTGGGCGCTTTACTTTTTGCGCTATAAATAAAAAAAGTGCAAAAAATTTGAAAAAAAAAAAAGTTTGTTTCTATTATAAAATTTTTCAAACAGGTATTTTTTCTCCTTCACTGATGTGCGTTGATGAGGCAGCACTGATGGGCACTGATAGGCGGCACTGATGGGCACTGATAGGCAGCACTAAAGGGCACCGATAGGCAGCAGTAATGAGGTGTCACGGATAGGCGGCACTAATATGCGGCACTGATAGGTGACACTGATGATGGGTACTGATAGACGGCACTGACTGGCATCACTGCTGGGCACTGACTGGCGGCACTGACTGGCACAACCCCTGGGCACTGACTGGTGGCACTGACTGGCAGCACTGCTGGGCTGCACTGGTGGGTGGCACTGGTGGGCGGCACTGATGGGAGGCCACAGGTGGGTGGCCACAGGTGGGTGGCACTTCTGGGCACAGGAGTGTGACACTGCAGAGTGGCACAGGTGGGTGCACTGCTGGGCACAGGTGGGTGATCTGCTGGGCACAGGTGGGCGGAGCTAGTGGGCGCACTGCTGGGCACAGGTGGGCGGAACTTGCGGGTGGCACTGCTGGGCACCGATCATCAGGGCACTGATCATCAGTGCCCTGATGATCGGTGCCGATCCCCGCTCTGACAACTGCCGGTTCTCGGCAGTACTTTCTTCACGATCTGACAGCGTGAGGAAAGTGCAGCCGAGAACCGGCACTTGCATTTCCCTCTGATCAGCGTGTCATTGGACACTGCAGATCACGTGGTAAAAGGCCGCTGTGATTGGCCTTTTACCACATCACGTGATCAGCTGTGTCCTTAGGACACAGCGATCACGGAGATCGCCGGGTGCGCTCCCCAGAGAGCGCGTTCTGGGAGGACGTCATATGACGTCCACTCAGAACTGGCCAGCCGCAGTACAGCCGTCATTCGGCTATCTGCGGTCGGCAGGTAGTTAATGTGCTTCTTCTTCAGCCACTCCTTTGTTGCCTTGGCTGTGTGTTTTGGGTCATTGTCATGCTGGAACACCCATCTACGACCCATTTTCAATACCCTAGCTGAGGGAAGAAGGTCCTTACCCAAGATTTGATCGTACATTGCCCCGTCCATCGTCCCTTTTATGCGGTGCAGCTGTCCTGTCCTCTTAGCAGAAAAACACCCCCAAAGCAGAATGTTTCCACCACGTTTGACAGTTGGGATGGTGTTCTTGGGGTCATAGGCAGCATTCCTCCTCCTCCTCCAAACACGGCAAATTGAGTTGATGCCAAAGAGCTTGATTTTGGTCTCATCTGACCACAACACTTTCAACTAGTCCTCCTCTGCATCACTCAGATGTTCATTGGCAAACTTCAGACGGGCCTGGACATGTGCTTTCTTGAGCAGAGGGACCTTGCGGGCACTGCAGGATTTCAATCCTTGTCAGCGTAGTGTGTTACCAATTGTTTTCTTGGTGACTGTGGTCCCAGCTGCCTGGAGATCATTCACAAGATCCTCACATGTAGTTCTGGGATGATTCCTCACTGTTCTCATGATCATTGGCACTCCACAAGGTGAGATCTTGCATGGTGCACCAGACCTAGGGAGACTGACAGTTGTTTTGTGTTTCTTCCATTTGCAAATGATTGCACCAACTGTTGTCACCTTCTCACCAAGCTGCTTGGCGATCTTTTGCAGCCCAGTCCAGCCTTGTGTAGGTCTACAATCTTGTCCCTGACATCCTTGGACAGTTCTTTGACATGGTGGACAGTTTGGAATCTGATTGTTTGATTGCTCCTGTGGACAGGTGTCTTTTATACAGGTAACAAAATGAGATTAGCAGCACTCCCTTTAAGAGACTGCTCATCTCAGCTGGTTACCTGTATGAAAGACACCTGGCAGCCAGAAAGCCTGCTGAATGATAGGGGATCAAATACGCATTTCCTTCATGAACACATGCATTTCTTTTGAATTTTTTGTTGCTATTCTGTCTCTCAGTGTTTCAATACACCTACAATTTGATTTTTAGACTGTTCATTTCTTTGTGAGTGGGCAAACATTCAAAATCAGCAGGGGATCAAATACTTATTTCCTTCACTGTATAAAGGGATAAAAAGTTTAGCTCAAACATATAAAGATTTAGAAAGTATGAAATATGTATTTTTAATGTTTCAGGCCTCATGCACACTTGAGCTCAAAAATGCCTGTTTATCAGGAGAATTACTTTTTTTTTTTTCTATTCTGCCTCTAAACGCCCCTCCATGTTACAATTATGTGGTCAGTGTTGCTTAGACACGTTAGTCCAGCATTTTCTAGTGCTCTGCAAGAGGAATCCAATTTCTGCATCACATTTAGATTAAACCTATAAGATAAATGTGTGTCAATTACAGTTCTCTTAATGGGCAACAAGACATACCTTGTGCTTTTAAACGCGGCGATTTCCTTGGTGATTTTATGGTAGGCTCATTTAATCTGTTAAGATTCTTGTCTGGTAGAATTAGATCATCTTCATCATTGATATCAACAGCAGTTACCTTATCTACCCCAACATCCATTATATCCTCAAGACCAACACCTAAAAAAAAAAAAAAAATTAAACATTAGTTAAAACAACTCTTATCCCATACAATGTTTACAAATAATTCTGCCAAATATGAATACATATAAAAAACTTACAAATATTGTACCAATCCTTAACCACTTGCCCTCCAGAGGATTTACCCCCTTCCTGACCAGGCCAATTTTTGCGCTACGGCACTGCGTTAATTTAACAGACAACTGCGTGGTCATGCAATGCTGCACTCAAATGAAATTTACGTCTTTTTTTTCCCACGAATAGAGCTTTTTTTTGGTGGTATTTGATTGCCTGTGCAGTTTTAATTGTTTGCGCTTTAAGAAACAAAAAACAAAAAAGGCCGACAATTTTGAGAAAAAAGAAAAACAATATTTTTTTACTTTTTGCTATTAAACATGTCCAGTGAAAAAAAAAAAAAAACACAAACATTTTGTCAGACATTTAGGCCAAAATGTATCGTGTTACATGCCTTTGCTAAAAAAAAAAAAAAAAAAAAAACCCAATATGTGTAAATTAATTTGTTTACATGAAAGTTACAGCGTTTACAAATGGCAGTAGATATACTGGGCTTTTTTTTTTTTTTAATTTTACTAGTAATGGCGGCGATCAGCGACTTACAGCAGGACTGTGGTGGGCATTCTGACACTGAGGGGAACTGACTTGGTGTCACTGACATCCCCAGTGACACCAATAAATGATCAGTGCTAATAAAAAATACTGACACACTGTGCTAACGGCACTGGGTATGAAGCGATTAAAGGGTTAACTGTGCGCTGTTTTACTTGATGTTCTGTGTTTGTGCTTCACTGTAAGCACACTGCTTTGCATGGCTGTGCTGTGCTGTGCTTCATGGCGACTTAAACCTTTAAATGCTTTAATGAGGCGCCAGCCCCAATGAGAAAAAAGAAAAAAAAAAAAAAAAATATTCCTTCAGGTTACCCCCGAACATGGAAGCACTTGGGTGCTCAGTACAAGCGCATGCTGAGCAGCCAAAACAAGCTCTAGTGTCTGCTCTGTTAATGGATAAGCTCACCTTTATAAAAAAAAAAAAAAATAATAAATGCACATTTTTTTTTTGCAGGTAAATATACATTTATTTTTTTTTTTTCTTGTTAGGAGCCTGTTAAACATTGCACCTACCACCAGCAGATCATGGGTATAATGCTAGGGTTCTGCTAGGGTTCTGCAGACTATCTGTGTAGCTGTCTGCCGTACCTGTGCAGGCAGTTGCACTCTGACAGGAAGAATCAAACTACATAGAAAGCTCAACGGCACCCTGGTAGTTCATTGACAACTAAGGGCTCATGTACACTAAAGCTGATAAATTCACGTTTAGGAGCTGTTCAGTGGTTTTTTCAGCAGCCCCTGAACTTACCCTAATGTTTTACTATGTGTACACATAATCGTTTACAGTCGTTCACAGGCAGTTGAGTTTACAATCGTTTTTTTTAAAATGCAGAAAACTTGCGTTCATCAGTAGATTTTTATCAGCATTTCAAACGCAAAACACTTGTAAACGTGGCTAACTGCGTTTAGGGGCGTTTGCGGTCGAAATTTTTTTTTTTTTTTTAACTCTTCCGTTTCCAGATGCTGTCCAGAGCCTTTTTTCATCATGAAAAATGCATGCAAAGTGTTTTCCCGGTACTCAAATGGACCTGGCACACCATACTTTGAGGTTTTGCATGAAAAATATGTTAGACACTGCTGCAATAATTTCTGCACAGAAATGAGCTGCAACACATCCCCAAAAAAAAAAAAAAAAAATACTGCTCTATTTCTCTCAAATTATCGAGTGTTAATTTTTTACTGTTTTGCAGTGCTTTCTGGGCATTTTGGAAGGTCTCCTGAGGTTATCTTAAAAAAACGCTTCTAAACGCATACCGCAGGTAAACAGACTTTTTTAATCTACGTTTTCCAGCAGTCAGTTTCCATTATTCAGAAGTGTCCCGTGTACATGGGGCCTAAAAGCTGGCAGCCGCAAAAGTTGTTGGTACTTGGAGTTTTCACATAACTCTGAATGAATGATGCAGTCGGGTGGGTGGAGCCCCACATCGTCATGTTTTTTCAGATTGGGACAACCACCGAGGGGAGATGATCTTCCGCTAGCTGTCAAAACCGTGACTCGGGGAGAGCGGAGACTGGTGCATCTGTAACATGTTACAGCCTGAATATGTGGGATAGGACAGCGTGCGAAAGCCGTGGAAGGCAGCGGGAGGGGGAGATATTCCCTCCCACTGCTTGTAAAAGCAATCCTACAGCTAGTTAGGTGGTCGGGCTGCTTTTACAAGAGAGCCGACCAATCCAGGAGGAAGTAATGATCAGTCACTATTAACCTTATGGTGAGTGCCATATTAGATGTTGCAGTGTGATCTGATATAAGGGGAAAAAGGGGGGGGGGGGATCCGCTCCTCTTTGTAGGACAATATCCTGCCTTCCCATCAGAGTTCTTCTAGCAGGTAGACAGATTACAGGTGCTCTTAAATGGTGAATGGGAACATGTTTGGGTGCACATACCGATATGTAGAGGGACAGCAGCAGAGCTCCTCTCCAGAGAGGCACTAGTGGCCCCAGTGTGCAGTGAACGAGGCCCCGGGGGTCCATTCTTACAATCAGAACTCCCCCCCTTAGCCAATCAGTGCCTCCGCCACTATACAGCATCAGTTGAAGGTCCAATCCCTTGGCTTTTCTTCACCTGTTGTAGTGGCCAATCAGTAAAACGGTTGGAGGGAAGGGTAGGCTGCGGCTCTGAGCTAATCGGCAAGGTCAGGTGAAGAGCCTAAAGCTCCAGAAGGGGACCCAAGAAGAGGAAGATCAGAAATGCCCTGTGCAAAACTGTTGTACAGAGCAGGTAAGTGAAATGTTTTTTATTTTAATGAAAACAAAAATGGCTTAGAATCACTTTAAAAAGGATAAGTTTGCCTTTTAACAAAAAATTATAATAAATGCACATTTTTTTGCAAGTAAAACAAAAAATGTGTATTTATTATATTTTTGTTTATGGAGTCTTTAAAGCAGATCAGCAGATCGTGGTGCCATGCAGGTCTCCCCCTGACCTGTCAGTATGTCTACTTGCTCGTACATCCCGTATGAGTAAGCAAATACTACTGACAGGAAGGCTCAATGAACTGTGGAGTGCCGTGGTAGTTCATTGAAAACTACAAGCCAACAGTTGCAAAGGCTGCCAGGACTTGTAGTTTTCCCCATTCACAGAATGAATGATGCGGCCACATGGCCAGGGCCCCGCACAGCCACATTTTTTTTAAATGACGACAACTAGGTGAAAGGGGAGAAGAGCGGGGTGGGGGCCGGTCAGATTGTAACATGTTAAACCCTGAATATGGGTGTACCATGTTACAAAAGGTGAACCTATCCTTTAACTAGTTTGCAGACTTTAGGAGTGTTAGTGCTACACACACCCAGAAAAATGTCCCCATTGGACACAGGACGTATAACACATCCAGTCTCTCTCACCATATTGTGTTGCGCTCCTTATTAATTAATATCTCTTTAGATACTTATAATCCCAAATTAAATAATCATATATTTTCCTAGTGATCAAATATACAAAAATTGTTTAAACATAAATTCATAACTTTACCATAAATTCATATATAATAATAACTTAATATATAAAATATATTATTAATCCATAGCCGTGATTATATAATAAATTATAATTAATTGTGAATCATAATTAGTGAAGAATAATGATTTAAAAAAAATTTGTGAATAAATACCCATATAAAATAATTGATTTAGTGCAAAAACAAAGTCCCATTAATCAAAAAAATAAAAATTTTTTATATATATATATATATATATATATATATTATATATATATATATATATATATATATATATATATATATATATATATATATATATATATATAGTGACTTTGTGCTATAATTGATCTTCAATCCGTGACTGATTGTGAATCCGTGACTGTATTTGTGAATCCTCCAATTAGTGCAGATGTAAGCTCACCTCCTTATCTGCCTACAATTAGGCTATATGCGCTTTTGGTTCACCTCCTTTGGAACCTGCTGGATTAAGATTTCTCCTCTTTAGATTGTGGAACAGGGATATCCTTTAGCACTGATTATCCCCTCTGGGGTTAATCACTCCTCACGGTGATACAAGCCCCTATACTCTCCTCTCCATGCGTTTCCCACATGCAGGAAAAAAATGCCAAACATAGTGTTTTATCCTTTTAAAACACTGCTTTATTACTTCCAAGTAGTACACTCACATATAGTGAAATCGATATGAGGCAATCCAGTGAGTAGCGAATCCTCCGCCGACCATTGAGTCATGCACCCGCCGTCTGTCAAACAATCCGGCTTTCTCCGAGTGACGTTGCAGCCCCACCCCTACACGTTACGCCACTGGTCACGTGGCTTCATCAGGGGGTATTGATAGCAACGTGTAGGGGTGGGGCTGCAACGTCACTCGGAGAAAGCAGGATTGTTTGACAGACAGTGGGTGCATGACTCAATGGTCGGAGGAGGATTCGCTACTCACTGGATTGCCTCATATCGATTTCACTATATGTGAGTGTACTACTTGGAAGTAATAAAGCAGTGTTTTAAAAGGATAAAACACTATGTTTGGCATTTTTTTCCTGCATGTGGAGAAACGCATGGAGAGGAGAGTATAGGGGCTTGTATCACCGTGAGATTAACCCCAGAGGGGATAATCAGTGCTAAAGGATATCCCTGTTCCACAATCTAAAGAGGAGAAATCTTAATCCAGCAGGTTCCAAAGGAGGTGAACCAAAAGCGCATATAGCCTAATTGTAGGCAGATAAGGAGGTGAGCTTACATCTGCACTAATTGGAGGATTCACAAATACAGTCACGGATTCACAATCAGTCACGGATTGAAGATCAATTATAGCACAAAGTCACTATATATATATTTTTTTTTGAATAATGGGACTTTGTTTTTGCACTAAATTAATCAATTAATTTTATATGGGTATTTATTCACAAATTTTTT